TGTATGGGATGAGGCTTGGGAAGGGTCTGAGTATGGGGGGAGGGGTCTGATGCAGGGGGTTGGATGCGGAAGGATGTGGGAAAAATTGGAAAGAGTCCAGCGGAGGGCAACAGAAATGATTAGGGACTGGAACACATGACTTATGAGGAGAGGCTGAGGAAACTGGGATTGTTTAGTCTGCAGAAGAGAAGAATGAGGGGGGATTTGATAGCTGCTTTCAACTACCTGAAAGGGGGTTCCAAAGAGGATGGATCTAGACTGTTCTCAGTGGTAGCTGATGACAGAACAAGGAGTAATGGTCTCAAGTTGCAGTGTGGGAGGTTTAGGTTGGATATTAGGAAAAACTTTTCCACTATGAGGGTGGTGAAACACTGGAATGCGTAACCTAGGGAGGTGGTGGAATCTCCTTCCTTAGATATTTTTAAGGTCAGGCTTGACAAAGCCCTGGCTGGGATGATTTAATTAGGGATTGGTCCTGCTTTGAGCAGGGGGTTGGACTAGTTGACCTCCAGAGGTCCCTTCCAACCCTGATATTCTATGATTCCATTCAACCCAGCTTATTTTATCAGCCATTTAAACAAAACAGAATTTAATGCATATCTAGCTAGATTACTTACTAAATTCTAAGACTCCATTCCTTTTCTGTTCCCGGCAAAAGCATCACACAGACAGAGAGAACCTTTGTTTCTCCCCGCCCTCCTGCTTTGAAAGTATCTTGTCTCCTCATTGGTCATTTTGGTCAGGTGCCAGCGAGGTTATCCTAGCTTCTTAACCCTTTACAGGTGAAAGGGTTTTTCCTCTGGCCAGGAAGGATTTAAAGGTGTTTACCCTTCCCTTTATATTTATGACACTTGTACAGGATGGTTTATAAGAGGAGGAGTTTTTTGACCTGATGCTTCTCTGCTTTCCCCAGAGAACACACCAACAAAGCCTTCGCTTCCCCCACACACACACCGCCCACACAGATTTGAAAGTATCTTCTTTCCCCATTGGTCCTTTTGGTCAGGTGCCAACCAGGTCATTTGAGCTTCTTAACCCCTTACAGGTAAGGAGGAATTCTAGGCTACCCTTAGCTGTATGGTTATGACATCCCTGTGCTGACCCAACTGCATGTGTGGGTTCTGAATGGTCTGTTGCCTTTTCACAGTGTCTTGCCTGCTGGGGCTCATTACCTGGTTCTCACTTGCCAAGCTGTAAAACTGCTGAGCAAAGAAAAACTGATTAATTCCCACAGGGGCTGAGTTAAGATTAAGATTACAGGAGTTAAGATTACATGGGCTCCCCTAATTTGGGCATTTCCTAACTTTTGTATGTTTGGTTTGGCAACCTAAATGATGTTCTTTTAACGCACTTCCGTGTAATGTCCTACGGTTTGTAAAAAGGCAACACCAATTCCCGGTATTTGCAACAGTCACACTGCTCCCACCATGCATTAGCGGCAGGGTTGGCACCCTAAGCTTGCAGCACAGACCTCTACCACAGAGCAAACAGACCTGAGCTGGCAGCAGGAGAAGGCTGTGGACTAGCCACTAGTTGAGGCCACATAGCACACTGACACAGTGTGGTACATTTGCAGGAGGTGCCATGATTTACAGACACGTGTTTTACATAGATCAAGCACAAAGATGTGGCAACTTCATTCCTAGAGACAGGGTGACTGAGACCTGGACCTGCCATCTTAGAGACTTGGGCTCTGGTCCCCGCTTGTGGAACCCCACAGGGGGATGTGAATCCTTGTCAATAAGAATGGTGAAGGGCACACCCTGATTAATCCTAGTCAGGAGAAGTGAGCCTAGAGCTCCCAGCTCTGAGTACTGTCCCCTAGGCCAAAGGGAATTGTGTTGAGGGGTTGGAAGTTGATGATCATTCATGTTACCTGTGTCCCACCCAGAGGTTCAGTGGTCTGTGGCCAGCTGAATAGGTACACGGGCATGCATGTGTGATTTTGCTGGATTGGGGATGGGTTTCGGCAGCAAGCCAGGAGCAAACTCCGCTGAGCAGCACAGTGGTGCTGGAACTGGGGGGCAGGGACGCAGGGCCCATCCACTTCTTACTGGGGCAGACCCTCCCCTTTTCCCTCCTTTTCCCCCCAAGACCCCACACCTGGCCAGGCAGTGGGGAGCCCAGCCAGTTGTAGGAGCTGTGCGGACTCTCCACCTGCCCGTGGTGCAGAGGGGAGGCCAAAAGCAGCCCCCAGCCCATGTCCCACCCAGGGCAGGTGGAGGGACCCAGGCTGCCCACAGCTGCCCATGCAGCGTGGCTCTTGCCCCAACCAGGCTCTTGGCCAGATTTGAATGGCTGTTCAGAGGCCAGCAAAAACCCAAAAGCACTCCTGCTGCAAACTACACAAAGGTTGGAGCTCTCTAGGGAAGAGCTGAAAGTATTTTAATATTGGCACATTAGGTGATCTTTATCCTGGGGTCACTGCCTCTCACACTGCAATAGAAAACACCCTTTTCCTTAATTCCAGCCCATTTGGTCATTTGTAGCTGATAATTTTTACACTCAGATTTATAAAACTGTTCCTTTCACAGTGCCCCAGGGCCCGTGTACTAAACACAGTGTGTGTTTCTGTATCACAGCGCACAGCAGACAGGACTAGCGGAACCCTAGAAAAGCTGGCAAAAAGCAATGAGCTTGTACCCTGCCCCTGAGGTGACCAGGCCCAACTGAGGAAGCAAATTCCAGAAGTGGGAAAGGTAGCGGGGGCTCTGTTCAAGGCAGCTGGGAGGTCACTAAGCGGCAAGGTAGTTATAGCTCTGGCATGTGCTGGGACCACTTGCCTCGTGTTTCTAGCAGCCCACCAAGCATCTTGATAACACAGTTGCTTTTGGTTAAAATCTGCCTTGTACCAGCTCCATCCCCAAGTGGCTGGGTCACCGAAGATCACCATGTCCTGATGCTGAGTGGGGGCACTTGTAACACTCCATGCTGATGCCATGTCACCATGCAATAGAGTCTTAGTGGATGCCATTTGTCATTAATGTCAGTAAGAGCACAAGCAGGCCCATCCTCAGTAGACACAATATCGTGATGTGACAGTATGTCATCATGTGGGGTGACATCAGCACACTCATCATGGGGCTGAATGGGGCCAGAGCCAGCAACACACAGGTGGATTTCAGCTAGCGGCCATCCAATCTCATCTCAGCGCTCAGGAGGGTTGGCCGGGAACGCAAAAGACAGAGTCCTTTGAACAGGCTTTGCCCCCATCATGCATGGAGCTGTGTGGGTTGTTGTCACCTTGTCAGGGTTCAGATTCACACATTCTCCAGGCAACATTTCTTCTTTCTGCTCATGGCACAGGTCAAAATGATGATGTGCTAGCAAGGAGTCCTGCCTGCTCCTCCTATGGAAACCCACCCACTTCCAAAGTGCATTAAGCAAAATTGGATTAAGTCCACTTAAATGCTGAATAAGAGCATCCACACAGTGGTTTAATCCTGTTAATTCATCCACTTTGAATTCACACTTAGTTAATTCAGATTAACTGTCCTGAGTGTCTTTCTGTGGGGAAGCCCATACAGAACTGGAGTAGGCGAATGCTTTCCCCATCCCAGTTTTCAGTGCTGCCCTTCTGGATCCCCCAAATCCCATGCCATCCCTTCTGCCTGTGACCTACTCCTCAGCCACCCTCCATAAATCTCCACAGAAGACATTAGGGGTGGTTGGTATTCTCACTGGGCTTCTGCCTCGAAGACTTGGCCTTTGCCTTCGTTGTTCAGCTAATGTAAACTGTGGCTTGTTGGATTCCATCACCCTTAAAGGCTGAGATAAGATTTGAGGGTCAGAACCTCAAGGGAGATCTCCTTCCATAGGACCAGCCCTTGTGTAATTTTTCATCCAACCAGTCAGGTTATTTTGCAGTGAAAATAGATCACCTAAAATTCTCAGGTCAGCTCACAAGATGTTTCAGAGCCACAGAAAAGTGCCTTTTGGATGGTGTCCCTGCTCCCATCCCAGGCATTTGCACAGCTGTGTGTTTGGAGGGTGTCCCTGCTCCCATCCCAGGCATTTGCACAGCCTCCTTTCAGTCCTAGGAAGGGTTTAACATACATCTCTGTATTGTAGTTTAACTGCCAAAGCCTTCCCAGGGGCCTTCTTATTGGACCCTAGAAAAGGTTTGCCACCCCAACAACTCCCCCCAAGGCCTGTAGGCAGCGGTCTGTAGCAGAGCTATGATAGTCCCACAGGAAAAGATGTTTCTCTGCCATCCCACAAGTTACAACTGTCCCCTTACGAGGCATTTTTGACTTAATTGTTTGAAACCTCAGAACCAGTTTGTATTGTTTCTGTTCTGGATCAGTTTGGGGAAAAGGGTAAGGTTGTCTCTTATTTTTTCTCATTGCTGGTGTGGTCATTTCCATGTGCAGAGTGATAGTGCAGCAGATACATATGTCACAGTACAACCAACGTACATGCTAATCAAAAGGCAGCAATGACCAACACCAGAGTTCCTCCAAGCCTATGGCTCTGCAAGCTCACCTGGTTAAGGTGTGCCAGTTTCACAGCTAACGGTGCACAAGGCATTGATGTGGCCAGCATCACGTTTGACCACCTCTGACTGCCACTGGGTGACTTGGATGTGGCGTTTCAGTGTGCAATCAAGCAAAACTCAGCTCCCCCAACCTTCAGGATTGTAGTTAAGTGCCTTACCCACTCCACCACACAGCCATGAGCACTGGGCAGCTGTTCATTTCCCACTGAAGGAAGCAGGGGATGAGGAGTCAGGCCTCTTGGACTCTATTTCCAGTGCTTACTTTCACTCTGTGATATTGGGCAGCTGGTGGCCTGTCCCTGTACCTCAGTTTCCCCATTTCTCCACTGACTGCAGTGATAACATAGGGATATGCCGAGACTTAAGAAATGAATGTTTAAGCACTTAGATAAACTCTGCTGAAAGACACTGCGACAGGGCAGAGTTCTTACCTCTCCATTTTCCCAAGGGAGTTGCAGCACTCCCAGTGTCTAGGTTAATGCCAGTTTCAATTGTTTTCTAGATCTCTGCTTTGCAGTCAAACACTCTGATGCGGAAGGTGAAGCGGACACTGCCCAGCCCCCCTCCGGAGGAAGCTCACCTGCCTCTGGCCAGCCAAGCCCACTCCCAGCTGTACTTGCCCAGCTTCATGCAGAAGGGGGTAGGAGAACAGGCCACTCAGGTAACCAAAGCCAGCCTTCTCAGAGACATCGACCGTGACCTGAAGCTGGTGGAGCATGAGTCCACGAAGCTGCGGAAGAAGCAAGCAGAGCTGGATGAGGAAGAGAAGGAGATTGATGCCAAGCTGAAGTACTTGGAGCTGGGCATTACTCAGAGGAAGGAGTCTCTTCTGAAGGAGAGGGGAGGGCGGGATTATCCTTACCCAAGGTGCCTGGGCGAGAACCGGGACTACATGTCTGATAGCGAGCTGAACAATTTACGCCTTTCCAGCTATGAGGGCAGCAGTCTGCTCAGCAGGCCCAGCACTGCCCCCACTAACCATTACACTGACTTCTCCAGCACACAGTACACATCAGCCTCCTCCTATGCCCCTTACCCATACCCAGCAGCCCCACCTGGCCCTGCCGCCTTCCAGCAAACACGGCTCCAGCCCCCCCACTACCCTGTGGTCAGCAGTGGCACATCTCAGAATGGCTTCCAGGCTGGCCAGCTCCCCGCCTTCCCCTCCCAAAGTACATATCAGACACACAGCTTCCCTCCCAGTACCGGTTACCAGCCCCAGCTGGGCTTTCAGAGCCATCAAGGCTTCCGGCCGCCTCATCACTACCAAGCTCAGACCACATATCCCAACCAGCCACCCTCACAGCCAGCACAGAGTGCCCTCTTCCAAACGCAGGCAGATGTGCACACCATGCACCAGAAGCCATGGCAGACATCACTAGCAGACTTGGAGCAAAAGATCCCCACCAATTATGAAGTGATTGGAAATCCCACCGTGGTGATCTCCTCAGCAGCCCCAGAAGTTACATACAGCCCCACGACAGTGACCAGCAGCTATGCCCAGCCCACGGCCCCAGAGGCCAGGCCAGCTGACCAGAGCAATGCCATACAAAGCCCCTCAGCCAGTTACTCTTCAGATTCTCTGTACACAAACCTGGAGCAGAACATTCCCCGCAACTATGTGATGATCGAGGACATCAGCGAGCTGACCAAAGAGAGCACTGCAGCAGACAGCCACAAGGGGGAGATGCAGGTGCAGAGCAGCACTGGCCACCAGATCAAAGAGAAGAGTGAGCTGGTGGAGATGGAAGGCTCCAGCAGAACTTGCTGCTACTCCAAAGCAGAGGAGGAGTCAGAGGAGGATATGTATGATCAGCATGGTGCTGACCATAGGGGGAAGAACAGCTACCACAGGGGCATGGAGAGCAATGGCAGGATGTCAGGCAGTTCCAGCAGCCCCTGCTCCTATTATGGGGACGATTATCGGCACTCCGCACGCTCAGACAAGCATGGCTCTGGACTGGGAATGCAGAAACATTCCTCCAAAAACCTGGCCCCTGCTGTCATCTCATCCAAGCGCAGTAAACACAGGAAACAAGGCATGGAGCAAAAGATCTCCAAATTCTCCCCCATAGAAGAAGCCAAAGATGTGGAGTCGGACCTGGCCTCCTACACAGTGACTACGTCTATCAGCAGCAGCAATGTGGCATCCAGGGCAAAGAAGCTTCAGGACGAGATCACCTACGGCCTCAAGAAGAATGTGTATGAGCAGCAGAAATACTATGGCGTGTCCAGCAGGGATACGACAGAAGAGGACGATCGAGCGTACAGCACTGGAAGCAGATCTAGATCGTCAGGTTATGGGACAGAGAAATCATCAAGCCGCGATGCCAACAGCAGAAGCAAATCCTATGAGAGAGAGTGCATGGAGAAGCCTCAGAAAGGAAGCTCCAAACCATCTTCCCTTAATATGAGTCAGAGTCGAGGGCGGCCTCCGATTCGTACACAGACCACTGAAGAGGAAAGTCCCATCAGCCCTTTAGGAAAGTCTGTGGGCATGTCCCGCTCCTCAGGTGGACCTCTCCCTCAGTCCTCTGGGGACAGCTGTTCCCAGTTCTGCTCCAGCCACTCGTTGCCTGATGTGCAAGAACATATTAAAGATGTGCCAAGGAACCACTCTTACAAGCATGAAGAAGGTTACATCATGGATGATTCACATTGTGTTGTTTCAGACAGTGAAGGTAACAGTTATCTGTGGTGACATACCCCAGAGCATGCTCCTATGGGTCATTTGCAAAGACGGTCTCACAGCCTGCGTTTGCATATCATGTGCCTTTCTCCCTTCTTCCACTGCATGTTCCAGGTGTCTGGTGGTAGTATGTCAGTGTTCAGTGCCTGCTGCATGTAATGATGTGTTGTATTTGTTGGGGAGGGGTCTATGACGTGTCCCAGATGCATGTTATAAGCTGCTTGCATTCTTTTATCTCATTGCATGGCTTCAGTGTGGGGTACGCTCCCACCACGGGACCGAGAGACTGACTGTACTCTGTGTTTGGTTTCTGAAGCCTATCATTTGGGTCAGGAGGAGACAGACTGGTTTGATAAGCCCAGGGAAGCTCGCTCAGAGCGGGTAAGGTACTACACTGGCCACTCCTCCTCCCAGAAGAGACCTCCCATCAAACACACCTTTCATGATTACGATGAGCCTCCAGACGAAGACCTGTGGCAGCACGATGACTATTCTCAGGCACGTCACTCTTCTTCCAAAGACCACCGGCACCATGGAGAGTATGGAAGGCACTCAGCCTCTTCCCGCCACCCAAGTGATGAACAGCCCAGGAGGACATCCAAGCAGCATGCCCGAGACCAGGGCCGTCATGAAGTCCGCACACACATGCAGCTATCTGCCCAGAAGAAGGCCCAGCAGTCAGACACGAGAGCCCAGCCAGCTTTCCCCTCCAGCTCAGTGGAGTACTCGCAGCAGTCCCAGCAGCTGTCCAGCTACCACCATACCTCAGAGTCCCAGAAGTCCCAACGGCAGGCTCAGCATGGGCCACTGCCCCAACAGCCGAAAACAGAGCCCTTGCTGCACCATTCACAGCAGCAGTCGCAAACAAGGCAGCAGCAATCTGGGCAGCAGCAGCTGCCATCCAGGCAGCAGCAGCCATCAGCCAGGCAGTCTCCACAACAGCAAGCAGGCCCTTCGCAGCAACCTCCTCAGCCACAGAAAGAGCAGCAGCAGCAGCAAGCTAGGATGCAGCAACAGCCGGGGGCTCAAGGACCACCCTCTTCTCGGCCACCACAACAACAGCCCATCCAGTCCCAGCATGTCGGGAAGCCCCAGTCAACCCTCCCTGCACAGCCAGGCAGTCACCAAGTAGGGCTAGTAAGTGTGCCATTGGTTCATCACTTACACAGCAGGTGCCCAGCTGATGGCTTGTCCTGCAGCACTGGGCATGGCACCCTAGGAGAATCTGGTTGCCCAGGAAGGAGGCAGAGGCTGGGAGCCCCTGCTGCGTCCCAGGGCACAGGCTATGTACTGTCATGAGCTCCCCCAGTCCACAGCAACACAGCGGAGTACATCATCCAGTGAGGAGGGCCCCCAGCTGCTAAGCAGCTGATGTGTTCTGTCACACAGGAGACCTACCTAGGATGTTCCACAGCAGGAAAGGCGTTAAATTATGGAGATCTCAGGGGAGCAATAGAGCTGAGGCTGTGCCGAGATTGGCACTAAGAGCAGAAATAAAATCCCACCGTTTCACCCTTCATTGCCTGACTTCAGGCTCCAGTTGTTCAGTCAAACACCTGGAGCTACTCCTTCCCCCTCCCCCGGCCCCACTTGGCCAGGACAAGCCAACAACCTTACAGCACAATAAGCCAATTGCACTGTTCAGGTCTGCTGGCTATTTCCATTCTCCAGTGCAGCCAGCCTGCCTCCCGGGCTCACCTGCTGGGCACCCAGGCAGGCTGAGCATGGAGGGCATAGGGGAGAGATGAGGCTGGGAAGATCAGGGAGCTGGGAGAAGCCAGGGGGGAGGGAGTGGGGAATGTGGGGATCAGGAGAGAGAACAGATGGGAGGGGCCCTGTGAAAGAAGCAAGGATTTGGGGTGGGGGTAGGGAGGAGGGGATGGGATTGGGGAGCTGGGCAGAAAATCCATGCTCCCATATTGGTGCAGAGGCCTCCCCCCTGCCCAGCTACCTCCTGAGCCAGGCCCAGCGCCTGCCCCCTGAGGAAGTGCAGCAGAGGGAACAGCTGACTGGATGGATTTGGCTGTGGATTGCAAGGGATGACAGAGGCTGGGCCATTGCCTTGGGGAGCCAGGCTGGCTTGCAAGGTAGGCCTTTGTGTGTGGGAGGAGATGTGCATATGTGTGACTGGGAGCAGGGGGTGTCAGGGTGGGTTTCCCAGGAGGCAACATGCGTGATCCTGGGTTGATATAGTCTTTGACCTGTTGCGAGGGCTGGATTGTCTGCTGGCACTTACTGATGTGCCCCTATGCCCCTGGGACTGCTGTTCTACCAGCCCCATGCCCTACCTGCCTGCCCACCCATGCGCACAGAGACCAGGGGAATTCTGAAATATGCCTTTCATGTTACAGCCAAAAGCGGATCAGGTGGATACGCCCAAACCCACCACAAAAGTGCCACCACCGCATGGGAGAGCGCCCCAAGCACAACCACTGGGAACGACTGCAGCAGGTCAGTGAGCCAGACCAACACATTGGGCCCTGCCAGGCCACCTGCGCCCATGTTGGCTGGCAGTGCCCATGGTACTGAAGGAGCAGCCAGGCACCAGCTGTATTTGCCAGAGCCATGGCTGCCTGGTCTCTTCAAAGAGAAGATCCACTTTTATCCCTCCCTAGCACATCACAGCATTCAGAGGCTGAGATCACTCGGAGCCTGGAAACAAATGCATCCCGCTCTTGTCAGGCTATGGAATGGGGCCAGATCCCCAGCCTACCGGTCCCTCAGGGCAGGAGAGGGGTCAGCAGTGACCCAGAGTGGGTTGGCATCCCCCGGTCAGGGAAGCAGATGTGCAGAAGGTGCCCAAAAGCAGCCTGCCCTAATCTGTACCAGTCATGCCACAGACTCCTGGCAGCTGAAAGCACCTGGGCTCTGGCCCCACCTCTAGTAAGTCACATAGGCGCTGCCCGTGTCAGGGAGGGGCTGTGGCTGGGTTCTCCTCCTTACTATGGTTCTATATATTCCCTGGCAGGTATTAAAGTGGGTCAGAAGCCATCAGGGGCTCCCCCACCAACTGGGGCAGCAGCTGGACAGTCCGGGGTGGATGGAGAGAGCGTGTTCTCCAAAATCCTGCCAGGAGGAGCTGCAGAACAAGCCGGCAAACTGACAGAAGGTAAGGCTATGTCTACACTTGCAGAGTTTTTTCACTGACCGTTTTGTCAGTGATAGAAAAGTGCTAAAAGAAAAGCACTGGTTTGTGTTCACATTGTTTTCCACAGGCTTCAGAGCGTGTTTACTTATGCAGCACTTGCATTGCAGATGAGAGGAGTGCACTGTGGAAGCTATCCCACTGTGCACTGCTCCTGGACACAAAGCAAATCATTATTGTGGCAGGGGTGGATATGTGTGTGTGACAGTCGCTGGAAGCAACCAGTCCTAAGGCAGGGGGAGGGGGAAACCCCAACCTCAGCCCCCGCCTCCCTCCCTGACTCTGCACAGCACATTCTGTCTGCCTGCCTCTGTTTGTATCGTGGGAGGCAGCAGGAGCATTCCACAATAATTATTTGTTTTGTGTCCCAGAGAAGTGACAGCACCAGCTGTCAAAACAGAGCTAAAGGGAAGGGGCGCATACTTGCAGGCAGGACTGTTGAGTTTCAAAGAGCAGGCACTCCCGCGCTGCATTGTGGGACAGCTCTGGAGGGCAATTAGACCAGTAAAGCAATCAAGAGTCTTCTGGCACATCAGCGCAAAAGCATCAACACAAAAAGACTCTCATTGGGGTGGTTTTATTTTTGTGCTGAAACTGCTGAGTTTCAACGCAAAATGTAGATTTCAGTGAAGATACTAGTGTGTTTTTTGCGCAAAAACCTGACTTTTTGCCCTAAAACTGGCAAGTGTAGACATAGCCTAAGAGTGCCAGCACCTGGCTAGACAGTGTCCGGAGACGGTCACACAGCCCACGGGACCTGGCGCCATGGAGACATGCCGGCACAGGGTCTCTGCTTTGCAGATCAACAGAAGGGACTCACTGCAGACTGTGCAGGGGCTGACACAGCCCAGAGGTGACCCAGGTGCTACAGGCCTCTGACTGGCTGCTCGTTAAGCATTGAGACAAGGCCAGCCACTTCAGGTGAACCATAAGGTGGCCTTGTGGTTCACCAGGAAGAGCTGCTGTTTCTGGAGCTGGAGGGCTACAATCTGGACTGTTGAACAGCTGTGTCCCCTCAGTTCTCCAACCGGAGTGTCGTTTACACTGCTTCGCTGTGAGAGCAACGACTCCTGGCCTGCTCACAGCCAGCCTCCAGCATGTAAATTCCTCCCAGATACACTGCGGAGCAACACCACAAAATCCCAGTCCCAGACTTTCCCCCGGAAATGTGCTGTTTTGTACTGCCCCGCACCCTCCTGGACAATACAGGCCCATAGAAAGTCCATCGTTTTATGAATAGAAAATGGTATGCACAAACCCGGTTATCCCAAATGGAATTTCCAAAACACTTCAATTCAAACACTCAGGTTTAGATAAAACAATAAAACAAGTGTATTAACTAAAGAAAGATTTTAAGGGATTACAAGTAATGAGGCATAAAAGTCAGAATTGGATACAAAGAAATAAAAGGTAAAATGCAACTAACGCCTAATTTAATAAGCTAAATACATTCATAGAATATCAGGGTTGGAAGGGACCTCAGGAGGTCATCTAGTCCAACCCCCTGCTCAAAGCAGGACCAATCCCCAATTTTTGCCACAGATCCCTAAATGGCCCCCTCAAGGATTGAACTCACAACCCTGGATTTAGCAGGCCAATGCTCAAACCACTGAGCTATCCCTCCCCCCAAAGCGAATCTCTCTCACACCACATGTTTTAGCAGTCTTACAGGTTGGACTCCTTTCAGCGGGGACCCCTCCCCCAGTTCAGTGTTACTTTCCATGTCTTTCAACCATTGTTGATGCCGTGAGCAGAGAGAAAGGGAGGAATATTTTGGGGTGTCCATTCCCCTTTCTTATAGCTCTCTGTTTTTTGAAAGCCACCTCCAGCTGAGGTTCAGGCAACAGAAAATCTGTTTGGACAGGAATCTAAAGCTGTTCCTTTGTCAAAATGTAAATTTTTACCCACATCCTCTTTCCTGCCAAAGAATGGCCAGTTAGCCAGGTGATGGTCCATTTGATCCTGTTGACATCTGGCGGAGGCATCAGTTTGCCATTTGTCTCTGAGGAACCAGTTTGTGGCTATTTTTCCAAACTTGGAACATCTCAAAAACATCATATAGTAGAATCTCATAACTTACATACAACGATGTCACACAAACTTTACCAGGACAATAATGATCAGCAATTATGAGTTTTCAAAGACATACTCACAAGGCATACTTTTTACAAAATTTATCATAGTCTTTTAAAAGGGTGAACATAGGGGGACAGACTGTCAGAAGAGTCGCTGCTGGCTCTCACTGTGTTGAATGTCTGGCGGCTGGAAGTAAATTAGATGGGAAGGACAAGATCAGGAAAATGGGGCAGTATTGAACCTGACTCAAGTGACGGGGTGGAGGAGACCAGAGCCACAGGGGAAGCTACTTAGTGAGAATTTGATCAAAGGACCTGCCGGGGGATTGCTAATGAAGTCCCCACTCATGCTGAGAAACAGGTAGGTGGCACTTTGCGGACTTGTGCCCAACCTGATGGCATTCCCCCTGCCAGACAGTGGGACACTGGGCCCTGCCCTGCCGGACAGACCAGGCCAGAGCTCAGCACTCAGCAATGGAGACCCAGCTCCTCCTGCTGCATTTGTGCCAGGAAAGGCTGCGCTGACCCCAGTGCCTGAGTCCAGCAGAAGGTCCTCTGATGGGATTGTGCCTCACTAAGTCCCTCAGAAGAGTGGGGCTTAGGCCTCTCGGCTAATTCCTCAGTCTGGCACTTCGACTTCAAAAGGATCCCACAAGAATTCTAAAAATTAATACTAGCCACTCCCAGTTTATATTAAACTCCCAGGTTACAGCTTTTCTCTGACCTTGGATTGGTAGATGCTGCCACCACCCAAGTGTAGAACCCCTTTGAGAGCCCAGGAACACGCACTTGGGAATTCCTTTCTCTGGGGTACCATCAAGCCCTTTGACCGCCACCGCCACCCCTCCCCCACATCTAAGGAAGAGCTGAGAAAGGGAAAAAAAGGAAACTGGCTGTTGCCACCAGCTAATTAAACATGTGAACAAACCTCTTCAGACACAAAAATCCAATTCTGTTCTTTAAAAAGAAAGAAAATACATCTGGGAACTCAGGCTATTGCTAGAGTTTAAAAGAGCAACTACAAGAATTAATTACCAAGAAGAGCTTTCTTGAGGTCCAGCTTAAAGGTTACAAGCAAAACAAAAGCACCTATGGTTAGCACAGAGGGGTCACAAGCCATAACGAAATAAAAGGGATAAACCTAATTGCATCTTCCTAGACATTTCCTGATCTACTTACATACCTGGGCTTTTAAATGAGTAGTATCTAGATATGATACTGATGATTTTTCATACCTGGCCCAAGCTTCTTACAGCATAGCTGTTGTCCTGTCCGCCTCTCCCTGAGAGAACACCACCACACAGGCAAAAGGGGAGTCTTTTTTCAATTTTAAAAAGTTCTAGCCTTCCCATAGGCTCTTTTGGCCAGGTTCCCACTCACTTCCTTTTACCTATGCATAGCAGTGAGACTTTTTAGCCCTTTATAGGTAGAGCAATTAGAGAACAGTTACTAAAAGGGATTTTATAGCTACTGGCTGACTGGGTGTCCATAAAAGGGACCTACCTCATCCCTTCATTTATCACACGCCCCCCAATGTTGATAAACAACAACAGACGATGTTGGCCAGCCTGGTTCAGGTCCACGCCATCTGGGATTTCTTCCTGGAGGTTTAAGAAAACAGAGTTAATAAGATACATGCACAATTGTCTGTAATACGCAGCCAAGCCCAAGAAGTATTCGGCCTGCTTCTTTGACTTAGGGATGGGCCAATTTTGAATAGCATTTACTTTAGCCTGTAGGGGGTTGATAGTTCCTTGACCCACCTGGAGTCCAAGGTAGTTACCCTGTTTAGGCCTCTGACATTTTTTTTGCCTTAACGGTTAATCCTGCCTCCCTTATACTCCAGAAGACAGCTTGGAGGTGTTTCAGGTGTTCTGCCCATGAATCTGAGAATATAGCCACATCATCAAGGTAGGCTACTGCAAATTCTCCAGATCCCGCCGGAAGGTTATTTACCCGTCTCTGGAAGGTGGCAGGTGCATTTCGCAGTTCGAAAGGGAGCGCATTAAATTCATACATCCCTACATGGGTGATGAAGGCTGACCTTTCCTTGGCTGGGACATATAGCAGCACTTGGCAGTACCCCTTAGTTAAGTTTAAGGTGGAGATGAATTGGGCACATCCCAGTTTCTCCAATAGCTCATCTGTGCGTGGCACTGGATAGTTCTCTGGGTGAGTTACATCATTTAGCTTATGGTAGTCCATGCAAAAGTGGATTTCCCCATCTGGTTTGGGAACCAGAACCACTGGAGAGGCCCATGTACTCTCAGAGGGACAGATTATACCCATCTGTAACATGTCCTTGATCTCCCTTTCTATTGCAGTTTTGGCTTGAGGAGCCACCCGGTAGGGCTGAGCTCTAATTGGGCAAGCATCACTTGTGTCAAAGGAGTGGTACGCCCGTTCTGTCTGTCCTGGGGTGACTGAAAACATTGGCATAAAGCTGGTGCACAACTCCTGTATTTGCTGTCACTGCTTATGCCCAAGGGTGATGGAAAGGCTCACCTCTTCTACGCCACCATTGCTTTTCCCTTCATAGTAAACTCCTTCAGGCCACTCAGCATTGGCTCTCTCCTGGGCTGTAAACTGGAGAACCTTGATTTCTTGGGAATAAAAGGGCTTTAGATAAATAACATGGTATCCTTTAGGTTTTAGGGTAGGGTTTGGGAACTTCTTTAATGGAGTGCTTTGGTTTGGTAAGAACTCCTCAGTCACCCCACTCTGTTCCCAACAGGTCAGCTGAGTGGACTCTCCCCTCCAGGAGATCTGTCCCTCAATCTTCCCTCAAAACCTGATCCACAGGTGAGGGGTCTGGCATTTTAGATGCAGATCCTCCACTCTCCCCCAGGGGAAAAGCCTCCCTACAAAAGGTAGGCAGACCCTCCTGTC